TGTTGATGCCATTTTAAATCTTAAGCAAATGGCAAAAATACGGTGAATAAATTGAATGGGAAAAAAAACCTGTGTATGGTGCGATCACTAGTGAGCGACAAAAAAGGCTAAAAACGCCAGATAAAATTGATTCGTTGGAATGGTAAACGTAGTCTGTGGTTCTCGGCTCAATGGAAATCGCACGTTACGTTGATATTCGTTTCCGTGCATCCTTTTTCCACACATTCGATCACTCTCTCACAGGTACAGGTTGTATTTTACATAAATTTGCATATTAATATCAGTTAATTGCTTTTGAACAGATCTAGTTTCAAAATGTGCACCTTTCGCCTTTAAAGATCCCAATTGATGTTCCATTTGAATTGAGAGAGACAGCGAACCAAAGCAAAAATGCCGCACTACTGCTGATGCCAATTTCGTTCTGATGAAGCGATTTATGTCTTATTTTTTGCGTACGAAAAAAAAAATGCATCCGTTCTTGAGATAGTCGCTGGTTTTTTTTCTCTCTTTCGTTGAGCACGAGACCGCCGCCAGTAGTCAAAAATGCAACGATCGCAGGCAAAATTCAATTAAAATTCATTTTTATGCAAAACATTAAATGCATTTATAATGAGAGTGTTATTAACCACTCTACCTCCTGCAAGCTGTGACAATGTGATGATATGCGAAACGTTAACGTTTTCTTCATTTGGGTCTCTCCCTCTCTCTGTCTCTCTGTATTCAAAGAAGCGATGGTAAACATTTTAGGTGAAAATATGTCATATGCTGTCAAACAATACGCAGCAAAGACTGAACGTCGGCTTCGGGGTTGTTTGTTCATAATTTATAGCTGAATTCATGAGCCACTAAAAATAGCAATTCGACACAAGTGATACGGTTGTGTTGCTGGGAGAGTGTTTGATGAATGTGTCGACAGTTTATTTTCCTGCATTTTGGCCGCAAATGACCGTTGCATAAGCTAATGATTTTCTTGAGTCTTTTTTTTTTTGCTTGTTGTGGTTGTTGAATGGGTGAAACCGCCTGAGAGGCGTTGCAAATAAGCATTGCGGTGAGCTATTGTTGCTGAAAATATGCTCCATTTGCGGTCGAACAATCATTGATTGAACCGCAAGCGAATGGTTTTAACAAACCGAACCAAATTGATGTTTATTTAATCATTGTTCTGGAAAAGAAAATGCTTCAATTCAATTGTCAATCAAATAATGTGTGTGCCCGTATTGAGCATGCTTCACTGCAAAACAACAGAGTGCCGCATATGAACGTAATCGTTGACACAAGACCCGGTAATCAGCATTACCGTTTCACACGGCTTGATGTATCAACCATGTAGTATAACAAACGCTTTGATATCGCATGAAATTGTCTTTCTCACTTTGGATTTTGTGTGACCGATTCCGTGTTGCCATCACACGCAATTCATTAATCATATTCACACCGTACTTGATTTCAATGCGCACTGCATCATTCATTTCACGAAAATCACTCATTTAACCAATTCGTTGGTCTGCGATGATATACATTCTGAATATGCATATTTAGAAAGTGTTAAGTGTACACACCGGTAGATAAATGATTGTTTTGATTGATTCGCTTCGGTGAGTGTCGTTTGAAATCGATAGTCATGACAAATAGATCGTAATTTATGTATTTGTTTCGTGAAGAATTGCAATTGAATTGACCCGAAAAGGAAAAGTCTTCCGTTGTAGTAAGCTAGTCGCATTGGTAAAATTCTAAACGTATTTCGAAAAAGTCGAAATTCTTCGAATTTCAACAAATTAAGAATTAATTGAAATGCGATTTGTAGAACCACTCTGACTTTTTCCATGCATTCTATCACTCAATTGTAATCAATAAATGTCTTATTAACGGGCCGCTTGTGTGTAAGTGCAATCGATGTGAGCAATCTTCTTGGAACATAGGCGCGGGTGCGAGCGAACCCATTAAAAAAAATTAAATCGGCATTTTATGCTTCGCATTATGTGACAATGCAAAATGACTGGTAAAAATGTGCTAAGCAATGCGCGAACCGAAACGACAAAAATGTATTTAATTAACTGCATCGAAATTGTTTTTCCGCCAATAAATATTTCAGCAGTTTGTGGCTTTTGTTCGCAAAACTGTGATTCGCAGTAAATTCTCGTCGTATGCTCGTACAGCGATCGATTGTGGACAAGTCACACAATGCAAATCCAAATGTGAACACTCAACGGCAGCTCTTATTGCACTTTGCTTACCGTTCAGATCTCAATCACAATTTGAATTTTGCCAAGAAGCAAAACGTTTCGAACGATTCAGAAAGCTGTAAAGCTGTGTGTGAAATTCATGTGTTGCTTCGATCGATCGATCGATGACTGAGAAAGCGAGTAAGTGGCCAAAATGCGAGAGAAGAATATTTTCATGACGGTGACGATGATGTTGTATTTTCGATTTCATTGCTTGTCCCTGTTTCACTGTCGTTCTAAAAAACGGCAGCAACTCTTATCGCAATACACTCGGTTTTATGTCTTTTACTGTTCTCATTGGTCGTGATTTTCGTTTTTTTTTTAACATTCCAATTCCCATCTTCGCGCGCAACCTGGTTTCATTGATTCTTATTTCACGGCCAATATACGCAAAATAAAACGCAGACAAACGAAACCAACGAGAAAAAAGTGTATATAACTGAGAAAATCGTTTTCTCACCTTCATGTTAATTGCTACCGTTTGATCAGTAATCATCGACTGAACTCTGCACTGAATAATGATAAAATGTGTAATGAATAAACAAAACCAAGCGGATTGAGTACAACAAGATTGTGCCGATGCCAGAAGAGTACACCTAAAAAATAAGTGTACATACAAGACAGAGGGGACAGTTCACGAAATGAACAGGCGAACAGAAATAACAACACAATTGTTTACCTGATAAATTGTTGTTGTTAATGAGACACACACACCTTATGCAAACGTGTGAATGAGAGAGAAACAGCAATTTGATGCGATGAAAACAGTATTTTGAATTGATTCAGTGGTTTTGCGAGCCGCTGCTGACTCATCGAAATGACTCGAATGAAATGTAATGCCAAGCAAATTGATTATTGACAATTTCGTCGCATTGTCTCGTTGTTTTCTCTTCTTCGTTTTCGTCTCGTTTCATAGTAGGTTTTAGAATTTAGTCAAACAAACAACAAACAGTAGTCAAAACAACTCGGGTTTTTGTGTTGACGCATAGATGTATCCTGTTCGCGCAGTGCTGTTTTTTGTGTGTTTGTATTTGCGCTGTTTTTATTTCAGATTCGTGATTGCATCTTTCAATGAATGCTATTAATGCACCCAAAATGAATGACTCAAAACTTGTGGCAACACAAACCTTATGGTATTTCGCTTTGGCCAAACTGCAACTATTGTACGGAGCAGAGGAAAAAAACACCGAGATTCTTCCGTTCGATATGAAATTGTACGAAATAATTGGAAACTTTTCAGTGTTTTACTTATGCTTTTTTCCCTGGTGTGTAAAAAACTGCGGCATTCGGAAATTTAATTTCAACCGAAGATTTTATTTTCTTCATTTCATTTGTGTGTACTGCTTCTGTGCATGGCAGCCAGATTGCCAGAGACAAAAAAAAGACGATCTAAGGTCTGGGCTCGTTTTTTTTCCTCATTTCGAAAATGAACCAAATGAGGTGTTGGGAAAATAAATTTAATCGTCTCTGTTTCTCGACGCGCGTGTTTTTTCTTCTTCTTCTTCTTCTTTTTCCAAAAGAGTTGCTTTTTTTTTCATTGAAGGAGTTGTAGGTGAAGCAAAACAAAATTACAAATCAAGAAGCAATTGAAAAAGAAAGAAAAAACAAACTAAATGTAATGCAGTAGAGGAAACGAAAATGATAATATTTTTATAATAATATATTACGATTGTGAGTGAAATAGAAGAGAACACTTCGATCCGAGGTATATACACAAATGACTTTGACGGATTTTTTTTTTCAGTTTTCAACGTCGTTTTTGGATGTCACTGAGAGTTATTCATTCATGTGTGTATTTTGGCTATGCTAAAGCTTACACACACGACACAATGCAACATTCAATGGCAATATAAGCGAAAACGTACATCAATACATATCGTTTTCGGAATTTAATTCTCCGCATAAAAAAAGTAAATGCGAGATACCGAAAGACAGCAGCCGCGAACAAGAAGTATAGAGGAAAAAAACATTTTTCATTTAGTCACCGTATATTTCTCCCTTGGCCTCTAATCGCTCAAGCGTTCGTTTTCTTTTTGCTCTTTCTCTTTCTTCCTCTCGGCTTATGATTATGATTGCTATTACACTGGGTGTACATTTTGACCATATTCCTACTGCAAGTCAATCTCTGTGTGTTTTTTCTCTTTCAGTGTTCACGTTCGGATTTTTTTGAGTTTTTTTTTTTTCGTATTTTGTGCACAAAAGACGCTGATGATTCGGTGCGCGACTAATGAACAAACCAACCACTTAATATTTTAATGCATTAAAGAGATTTACAGATAATAAATGTGAAGTTTATACTCGATTCTCCCAGTATATCAGTTAGGCTGCGGCTGTTGCTGCTGCTTTTGTAGCCATCGTCGTCGTTCCAATGATATTGTTTCCTTTGTTACCGTTCTCCGGCATTTGTTGATGTATTACCGTGGTGTTGTTTGTGTGCTTTTCATTTAGTTCATTAAAAAAATATTAAATGAATCGATGAAATGTTGTTGATTTTTTTCTACTTCTCCGTATTCGTGCCTTCATCTCTTCTTCTTGCCAATATTTTTTTCTTCTTTGGTCTGTCTGTCTGTCTATCTCACTCTTTTCATCGATTTTGTTTACATACACATAAATTCTACATGTTTACAATATTTGCTTTAACTGTGAACGGATGCGAATTTATTGCTTAATTTTTTTCTCGGGTTTAGTTGGGTTTATTGCAGAAGCCAGAAAAGTACAGAAGATACAAACAGAAGCAAATCATTCACAATTTCTTTATTTTCTTTTTTTTATTCACAGTCTTAAGCCACCACCAAAAGACGGTGTTACCAAAAGCAATCCATCGAAACGGCATCGAGAACGGTTAAACGCTGAACTAGATCTTTTAGCTTCATTGCTGCCATTCGAGCAAAATATTTTAAGTAAATTGGACCGACTGAGTATTCTTAGGTTAGCTGTTAGCTATTTAAGGACGAAAAGCTATTTTCAAGGTAAGTGAAATGAAACAACGGAATCGGTTGTCTTTGAAAATACCGAAAATTAGAGCAATTTTCATTTCGTATTGTATTTTTCAAAATGTTTGCTGCGGTGTTTTTGGAATTCGTTCGAATGTAATTTTCTTCCATGAAAGTTGGATTTCAATGAATATTCAAATAGCCAAAAGTGAGTTTAATCAGAAAAAGACCGAACAGGCCCGACATTCATTTTCATAGTTTGATGTAGAGTAAATCGAAAATATTTCCCGTTTGCATTGTAAATTGCGCGTAATCGAGCAGACATAACACACAGACACAGTGTGTCGACGTGCATATATACGAATCGTTGATCCTTTGATTCAACAATATTAACGTAAACAACCGAATAAATCATTTTGAACACACATCGAACATATTGTTTCTCTGGTAATTCCGTTTTCTCTCTCTCTCTCTCTCTCTCTCTCTCTCGCTCTCTGTTTTCTTTGTATTTTGTTTGCGCGGTATGGTTTCGAAGAGCCCAGCAACGAATGTGCATAAATTGACCTCGCCCCAAATTCACAAAACAACATACGTGTATATATACCGCGGCTACTGGGCAAAGCTATGAACTGTTTTTTGTGGTTGTTGTTTTTTTTTCTTTTTGAAATCGATGTTAGCCTTTTGGCGCTGCCTGGTGCTAGACACACTCGGAATACATATATTCAAAGTTAGCGAATATTGAATGTGTATTTCATAATAAGAGAAAGAGAAAGAAAACGTGTTTTGCTATCGAGAATTTCGATAGCATAATTCAATCCGTTTGCGGCGAAAAAGTGTGCGATCCAAAACAAAAGGGAGCGAATGAAAGTTTTTCTACTCGATATTTGAATGGACGTGGAAGGATTTCAGCGTTTCTGTTTCGAAGAAATGCCAAAGCCAAAGTAAATAAATTAAAGATATGAGGCATATTATCAGAACGGAGCCGAAGGGAAATTCCATGAAACGCTAATCAATATCGAATGTGTGTGAGAAAATCACTTCTTCGTAGCCACTTTCATTCACCAGGTTTTCCAAATATGCGAAAAAATCGATGGCACAAGTACCAAGCCAACAGGAACATTCCCATTCCATCTATTGATTTCGATGGAGAAAATATATCCATTTCACAAGTGAAAGGTGATTTTTCATGAAAATATATGCCCGTTCTTAACTTTTCATTTGCCGAACAAAAGTTTGTTTATGCTTCCAATTTATATGCCTACGTTCGTAACGAAATAAAGTACCTGAATTGACGTTGGCAAACTTTGCACATTCTACGAATTCAATGCTAAAGGAATAGAGACAACTGTGGGTCATGAATTTTGTCAAAACTCTAATTCGATGCTGGCGTAGAGAAACTTTAGCACACCATTGAATTTCGAATAGGAGAGCATTCGTATTTATTGGCATTGTCTAGCAGTTTACACCCTTGTTATGTAACGCAAGCGCAAAGACATCTTTAACGACGCCATCGCGTGTTCATCACAAACTGCCGAAAATACGGAGCACCGAAAGACGGAGACGAGAACGGGCAAGAGAATGAACGGGAGAGAGAGAGAGTGGGACAAAGCATGAACCCGAGCAATTCATGGATCCGAAAGACGAATACACCGTTAAATAAGCATTATACCAATACTCTAAGATAGATAGACAAAGGGAAATGGAAAAGCATAAAAGCAATTGGCAAAAGCGAAAATAAATATTGAATAGCGTCGGATGCACTCCACATTTTTACGGTCTTATATATGCGCTATGTTCCCATTCGCATTCGAATTTGTGTGTCTGTTTCGGATATTGTGCTCATTGTGTGTGTACTTTCCTTGGTGCTGCTGTGTGCACGGCACCCGGGAGAGCAAGAGAGCGATTGCTATTCGTCTGTCATTCCCCGATAATAGATTGGACGAAAAATGGGAGCACATTTGCAGCACACAACTTATGTGTGGGCGATTCACAAACAAAATAAATCGACGCCGCCATTGTTAACGTGCAAGTCGAGCAGCACACAAGTAGATAAATTTCACATCCCAAGTCTCTCAACGGCCAGAGATGAAATGAAAATGGTGGAAATGCGCAATTTTCCCTCTACTTCAATAACTTTGCCCTTATTTTATAACTGACAGAGCTCAACCTCCCCAACTACTGTTTGTTTTTGCCAAAAAAAAAAAGAAGAAAAGCAAATGAATCACGGCCTGATATTCATTCATTGCACGTTCGAAAATTGGATGTTTGCTCAGCGCTCAATCATAGCGAACTCTGTTTGTACTTGCAAATCAAAATAAAGAAATTATACATCGCAGTTTGCATTCGTATCGATTTTTTAATTGGTAAACACGGTGTTCCACTGTGAGTTATGCCCCGGAGCTCGGTGTACATAAGGAAGTGTGTGCACGTTTGGTTTTTTTTTTCTCCTTCGTGTGATTTCATTAAATCCAACTAGTTTGCTTCAGCTGAGTCGCATTTTAATCAAAAAATGTTAAAATATGTGACATTTTGATGGGTTTAACTGCATTTGCCTAGTTTTTTTTTTTTCAGTATGTTCGAGCTCCTTGCCGCTTTGCATTGCAGACGGAGGCTCGATGTTTGTTGTTTTGTTTTAGGAACAACTGACGCAGTCAAATGCATCGGCAAAATCAACAGCACGGTGTTAAGAATAACAAAACTGAGCAAACGGCTAATACCTCCATGGCAAACTGTTTTGTTCCATGTGTAATTTATTTTATTAGATATATCACATTTTCAATAGTTTCACCCTCGGTGTTGTTGAGCTGCGCTCGTTTCGCTGCTTCGCCTCTAATCATTTCTGTGTCAATTTTTTTTTTTCCTGTTCATTTCTTCCTCTCTGTTCACCGTTCTCTATCTTTCTGTGCGTTATTTTTCGCTTTGCTGTTATTGAAGTTTTATAATTGTGAAACAAAAGGCAATGTTCTTGCTTCATTGTTGCGATGAAAATTCCGAATAGACACATATCAAACAACATATTTTATGTATGAGACAGCAACCACCTGGCCTCCGCTGCGTTCCATTTAACTTTTGCTTATGGTTTTTGCTTGTGTCGGCTCCTAAAAAAAAACACACATTTGCCGTGTGTCCATGTGGTCGAGAGTCGACGAACGATCAGTAACGCATGTTAAATATTCGACATTATTGAATTTTGGCATTAATCCCTCTATCCTCCTCCCTTCGAATTCAATGATATTAACTTCAATTTAAAATTGATGTAAAAGAAATGACCACAACCAACTTTTTTTCTTGTTCGTTCATGTTGTGTGCGTGTGTGTGCGGGTGTGTAAGAATTTCACTTCAATAAAGCAATTATATTTACAACTTCAATGAGATTTTTTGAAGCGATTTGCAGTGCACAAAGGTCAAAACCATGATACCCCATGACATTCTCGAAATGATGTCATACCCCGTTCATCGTCACATTGAAAATATGCAGTGAAAAATCTTGCAGTATTACACATACAACAAGAAATTGTGGAGACAAATTATTATAGTTGCGATAGTAAAAATTTCGCTTAATATCTGCAGTAGCGGGTTTTCTTTTTATTGTTTCATTTACCAGTGCAAACAAGGAGAAAAAGCGCGCAAGGGAAACATACAGGCCGGGCTAAAGAACGAAGTTAATGAGAAAGTATGACTCGAAGGAAAATAATACGCAATACAGTTATTTTTATTATTTATAGAGAATTTACAACAACATTTCTAGGCATTGACGCTGATGGTGGCTTACGGTTTTCTTCTTTGCTCTCCCTCCCTCTCTCTCTCTCTCTCTCTCTCTCCCTGTCTCTCATGTACGCGAGCCCATTCCATTGGAATTTTATACTCTATTTCTTGTTTTTAATATGCGCGTCCCAAAACATTTAATTAGTTTTGTGATTTATGTAGCTGTGCGCTTAACTATTATTTCATTTATTATCCTCTTTGATTCGCCCAAGAGTGGCGTTGTCGCATTTTGCACTGCTAAAACAGTGTTGTTCCTTGCTCAAAGAAAGTTTGTATTTGTCCTGAAAGAGAAAAAGAAATGTAAAGAAAAAAAGTTAATAAAATGTGTGCACTACCCACTTATCTCTTTACATAAAAAAACACACAATGGGAAAAATTTATTATTATGATTCGCTTCGTAGTATTTTTCTTTCTTCGGTCATAATTTCTTGTTGTGTTCTTATTTATTATGTTGAGCTTACTTTATCGCTCCTCGTCCAGATAAGGTGTTGTTATCATATGGCGAAAAAAAAATTATAACTACAAGAAAATTGTGGATAAGCAGCGTTTGGAAAACCGCACCATCACTACAACAGCCGCACCAAATGTTAAAAGCCGTGTAAATGAAACTCAAATGAGAGCTAGTTAAAAAGCATTTTAGCATATTAATTTCGCTGTTGGTATAGTGGTTTGTTGTCGCCACCGTTTTGATTAGCACGATTTTTCTTTTACATCCCAACCAAATAAAGTCATACATATTGTTGAATGTTACCGCTGCCGTTGATTTTATTCATATTCTCATGTGTGGCTTATGCTCGTTGACTCATTTTTTTCCTTTCTACATCGCTGGACATTTCATTTAAATCATTTAAGAATTTACGGCCGCGGCATATACGAACTTGTGTTATATATATACCCTCTTTGTCGCTCTTTGCTTTGGGTTTTATTTTTTTTTTTCATTCGTCAGATGTTTTGACTTGTCGCACCATACCAAAGAGAAATAGATGAAACGAAACGCACGATAAAAAAAGAAAAGAAAAATTAACCAAAAGAAAATCTAGTTGTATTTTGACTTCATTCACGAAATTTTTCGACGACAACCTCATGGACAGACCGAATAAAATAAATTTAAATGAATTAATAAATGTCGCGTACACACCACACACACACATACACAAAAAAGAAACAGAAGAAAAAATTCTAAATTAATATTAAATCTGATATCACGCCGAAAATTTATGAGGTCGGCCAAACATAAAAAAAAATCCACACAATTTATTAACATAATGCTT